TTCAGTTTTTCAGCTGTCATGCCATGCTGCAAAACAGTTTCTGTCCAGCTGCATGCAAAGCGCAACACCACACTCCCTGCATTTCCAAGGTGTGTCCTTTCTCTGGCCTTGGCTTTGGCAATGCTCACACCTGCTGCGACCTGTGGTGGCTTTTGTGGAAGAATCTGCTGCATGAACGACAATTGGCACAGGAATATGACCTGCAGGTACCGGGACCGGAGCAGTGTGAAGAGGCTTACCACAGAGTTCAGCAGTCAGCTCCTCCATGAAAGCTCTGTGTGTCATGGGTGTTGTTTGCTGGGCCAGACAGAGTTCCTTGTGGAGGATGTAGCTGTTGGTGGTGGCAATGTCCAGAAAATGGTAAAACAGGTGTCTGTACCAGCGCATTGTTTTGTGTTGTGCAGAGTAATATTGAATGAGCTGGTCTGAATGATCAACTCCCCCCATGTGTTCATTGTACGCCAAAACTGGTGTGGGACAGGGGATTGATGTCTTTGTCCAAGAGCCATCTTGTTGTTTCACCCTCCTCTGAACAGTGTTACCAGAGTGTGCTGTGTGAAGTGTGGAGCAGACTGATACTTCTCACGTGTCCATCCATTTCACATAGATGAGGGGCCCGTCCCGGATCCATCTTATGGAGCCTCTTTCTGATTTTTTTGTGAGGGCGTTATTTGTTGTCCGAGGGCAGTCCTTGCGGTTCTCCCTGTAGGTCCCACAGGCAGCAAATTTTTGCTCATGGAGAGCCCTGAAGAGTTTGGGGCTTGAATAAAAATTATCCATGTAAATGTGGTAGCCTGTGCCAAGGTAACCTGGTTGTACCAGGGACATCACAACATCATAGGAAAGGCCATGTCCAGAGGGGATGTCACTTTTGCCGGTGTAAACGGAAAAGTCCACTGTATAGCCATTCCGTGAGTCTGCCAAGACAAACAACTTGAATCCCCACTTTATCGGTTTTGCCTTCATGTACTGCGTCATCCCAGTTTTGGCCTTTGATGCAACCATTCTTTCATCCACAGCCACATCTCTGTGAGGATGATAAAATGACTTGCAGGCATTTTTGATGGTGTTCATCAGGGGTTTCAGTCTGAAAAGTTTGTCATGGTCAGCTGTGCCCTTTTTTTTGTCGTTCTGGACATCCTCTTCAGGGTCGCTAAGGTGAAGGTTCCAAGAAAGTGCTCTGTATCTGTCCCGTGGCATGATCTGCACTGGAAGTGGCAAAGAGAAGAAGTGATTCTGTCTCCAGTAATCTGCAATGCTGTCGAGTTTCACCATGGCCATGTACAGAAGCAGTCCAATGTACTTGTAAAACTCCCCTATGTTCACATCTAACCATTTATATTTCTTTCCCTGTGCCATTTGTTTAGCAGCCTGCTTGTTTGTGTTTTGGCACAGTGTTTGTATGATTTGTACAGGGAAGAAAAGTTTGAAGAGGTCGAGTGGTGTATATGTGGAAGTGGAGCTGAGCTGTGGCCCTGGTGTTCGAGCTGGTTGAAACCTGGAGACAGGGGGAGCGATGTCTGGGTCTTTTTCCGTCTTCCAAGACAGTGGAGCTGGCTGCTGTGTAGGTGGGGGTGCTGGTTGATGCTGGGCGTTACGGGACCTCTTGGCTGGCCGGGTTGGTGATGATGGCTGCTGTGTAGGTGGGGGTGCTGGTTGATGCTGGGCGTTACGGGACCTCTTGGCTGGCCGGGTTGGTGATGATGGTTGCTGTGTAGGTGGGGGTGCTGGTTGATGCTGGGGGGTACGGAACCTCTTGGCTGGCCGGGCTGGTGAGAATGACTGCGGTGTAGGGGCTGGTGGTGACCTGGTGGCAGGCACAGGTGAGGCTGCCTGTGTTACACTGGGCCCTGGTAGCTGTGAATCCTCTCTGAAAAAACACAAAAACATAAAGTTTACATCTCTCTCTCTCTCTCTCTCTCTCTCTCTCTCTCTCTCTCTCTCTCTCTCTCTCTCTCTCTCTCTCTCTCTCTCTCTCTCTCTCTCTCTCTCTCTCTCACACACACACACACACACACACACACACACACACAAACCAATCTCCACCTAACAAGAATGTGGAAGATGTGTGAGGATTTGACTTATTTTAACGTTATTCCAATTTATCACATGTGCTAGCTATCCTGTCCACCCCAAATCACAGCAAATAACACCTGAATGAGATGTGGGAATACTGTCTCTTCCATTTCAAAACTCCACAGAGATTTATAATTTTACATTCAGTATAAATATAGGCCTACTAAACATAAATAAAATTATATGAAAGATCAAGCCACATCTATACAAGTATAAACAATATGATAAAAAAGGTCAATGGCCAAACCATATCGATTCATCACTACAAGAGATAGGCCTAATGTTATTCAAATTGTGAATTGAGGTGAATAAATATTACATTAGTTATCATAAGGAGACCAGCAAGAACAGCCTACAACGTTACTATTTGTAAGTGTACCCCGGTTTTACACAAGAAAATAACTTTTACATAAAGTAAACACTTTGCTAAAGGCACAGTCAATTTGTCAAAGCAGCACAGCGCAGCTTATTTTAGCCAAGATGGTCACCATGCGAACGAGGTTTTTATAAAATAAATACGCTTACCCGTCCTCAACTGGATCTCTTCTGTGATCATAATCCTCATCTTCATCAGAAGAAAATCCATCAGGCTCGGAAACTCGCCTTTCATCCTCGTCGCTGCTATCCAAAATCGCCGCAAGTGCGTCTTTCAATGTCAATGTCTTCGCCATTTTCTCTCCTCGTCTTCTTCTTACTTTTCCTCTTCTTTATATATATTTTTGCCATGTTTTTTTCGCGGACTTTTTCTTTCGCGGACTTTTTTACTCTTTCTCTCTCCATGTCAGCTGGTATTTTCCTCACTGTGAGGAGATGGGAGGGTACTTAGGGATTTCAACCGCATCTATTGGTTGGTTTCACACAAAATGCAGACAGGCAAGCTAGCCCACCAATCACGCACGGTGAATGACCATCTTGTCTTCCCTCTTGCTCTCTGTGTGAGTCACATATGATCTCGCGAGAATAAGGACGTTGAAGCTGAGAATCTGTCGATTACGGCAAAATCAGAACCATTTATGTGTGCTGCACAATCGCGGAGATATTAATAGAAACATTGAGTAAACATTGAGTTGACGCGCCCGCGCGTCATCCGACCTCAGGGGGTTAATACACGCGAACAGCTGCCGGGCGAGATCATACGTGTGAAGGATTACCATGAAGGATCACGGCTTCTATGTTACGCTCCCATGCAATGCGTCGTTGTTGGTTTATCCTGAAAATCGTATATCCAGCTATACAACCAGGCTAGCAAAAACTATAAACTTGAAAGGCCCATGGGAGGTTGGACTCGCCGAAATTGAATATCCTAGAAGTTGGTACTCCTTTAATGATGAAGATGGATATTTCACCCTACACACTAACCCTGCACCGTCAAATAATACAAGACAGCAGGGCCCTACACCATTTAAAGAGTTATCAGGGTTTACAGTATCGAGGAAAATGCAAATAAACGGTGGATATTATGAGAACATTCGGGCTGTGATACGTGCGATAAATCAAGTTATAGCTCCGACGGCTGTATTAAATCATGATAATTTAAAAAACAAGGTGTTTCTGGTAGCGAAACCTAATGTTGCTATAAGCTTCTATGGAAGACTCGCCACTATTTTAGGAATGAATGCGGGTGAAGCTCTCGGCCGTTCGGCGTATCATGAAAAAGCTGATTTTACTACAAGCGTCATCACGGACGCGCCTCATCAAGCAGATATCAACGCGGGGTTCTATATGTTCTACGTCTACACCGACATTATTCAATATCAGTCAGTCGGGGATTCGTATGTACCCCTTTTGAGATGCGTACATATATCGGGTGAAGACAATGAAACAGTCAGTGTTAGATACGACAGCCCCCATTACGCGTCAATCAATAAGGACCACATCACCGACATCGCCATAGAGCTAAAGGACGATCAAAATCGTGAAATACCATTTTCTTACGGCAAAGTCATCGTAAAACTACACTTTAAGCCGGCGAATCATACAATTCTTTAAAAATGAGCTATTATTATAACCCCCGCGAGACGAATGCTGCTGAATATGTTAACTACTACCAAAATCAGGCCGGTGGAGGTCTACCCGGATATTCAGGTGGGGGAGTTATGTATGGGGCGGGGCTGGGAGGTCTTTTCAGGGGGCTGTTTAGGATGGCCATACCACTACTAAAAAGAGGATTTAGTATCGCGAAACCCCACCTAAAATCTGCTGCTAAAAATATAGTATCCGACGTTGTCTCAAATGCGTTGTCGAGATCGTATGCCAATAATACTAGAACTCAAGACGGCTCCGGTCTGATGGTCATGGCTCGTAAGAGAATGTCTAAACCACCGGGTGTGAGGAGGCGTGGTCGTCAGCTAAAGAAGAAAACAAAGCGGGGTCCTAAGAGACGCTCAGTCATACGACGAAAGCGTAAGAAGTCTGTGAGTCGGAAAGCCTCTGTTAAGAGAGCCATAAAATCCATATTCTAACATGGCGTTACTGCACCGCATGTCGGGTGAATGCATTAAGTCTGAGTTAGACTTATTTACGGTTCCACTAACACAAACGGTTATTGAGAAAAACGGCTATTTAGAAGTACCGCCTTTATCGGCTATATCGGACTCGGCCCCTTTGGAGTTTTTCATAGCGGGGAACGGCGAAGATTATGTGGATCTAAATAATACATTATTATATCTCAAACTTAAAATCACGAGACCTAACGGAGCAGACATTGCAGACCCTGCGAGGGTTGCTCTGATAAACTACCCCGGAGCCATATATATTCTCGGATATTCTCACAAGTTGATGTGAGCCTCGGCGATCGACTGATATCCCAGAGCTCGAGCACGTACCCTTACCGATGCATTATAGAGAGCCTGATCAACTACAGTAAAGATGCGCTGGAATCACTATTCTCAGCCGGTCTGTTTTTCAAAGACACCGCTGGTCATATGGATGTGAATGACCCCGTGGGTCGTAACGGGGGTTTGACGAAGCGATCGCTCTACACGAGTGGTAGTAAGGTGGTGGAGTTGTTGGCCCCTATTCATAGTGATATCTTCTTTCAAGAAAAATTAATGTTAAACGGGGTTGACATCAAAATACGCATGACCCGAGGTAAAGACGAATTCTGTCTGATGAGGTGTGATGACGTGGCGTACAAATTAAATATTGTGACTGCCTCCCTATACGTCAATAAAGTCTCTGTATCACCTCCTGTGAGACTGGGGCATGCCCAGGCGTTGTTATCGACTACTGCCAAGTACCCCATTGACCGGGTATGCCTAAAAAATTTCTCCATACCTGCCGGGGCTCGTGTATCAAATCAAGAAAATCTGTTTTTAGGAACGCTACCAAAATCTATCGTCCTAGCTATGGTCGATAACGACGCATTCACAGGGTCCTACGATAAAAACCCCTTTGCGTTCAAGCATTACGATTTGGAGTTCCTAGCGGTCTACGTTGATGGACAACAATTCCCGGCCAAGCCTCTACAACCGAATTTTGAAGCCGGATTGGCAGTTCGTGAATTTTATCAGCTTGCAATGACGACCGGAAGACATCTTAAGAACCAGGCCCTGTCTATCGACAGGAATGATTTCCTCAATGGGTACACACTTTACGCCTTCAACCTCACGCCTGATGAAGACTGCGGTCAGCATATATCCCTCGTCAAGTCCGGGAATATCAGACTCGAAGCCCGGTTCAGACAACCGCTGCCACACACTATTAACCTGATCATTTACGCAGTGTTTGACAGTATTGTTGAAGTGTCTAACCGTAGACAGGTCCTGGTCGATTACTACTGAAATGAATACGGTACAGCTCGTAGGAATCATGGATAAAATCACATGCAACACTCATTTTCTAGGAGTTCTTCCGAGCGATCAACTCCCTAAAAAAGCGTTAAGGATCTTTCCATCGATGTGTATAATTAATACACACCCTTCCCACCTACCGGGTGAACACTGGCTTGCTATTTATTTGACTCAAGATGGTACCGCTTGTTTTTTCGACAGTTTTGGCAACCCTCCCACCAGCGACCGGTTTCCACCTGCCATCAACAACTTCTTAGGAGCCAACGATGTCGATGTGTTATATTCAGACAGACGTGTTCAGGACTTTTCATCAGATACTTGTGGACAGCACTGTGTGTTTTTCCTATATCATCTAGTCAAGGGTCGTGACTATCGCGATGTGATGAAACTGTATAGTCATGATTATACTAAAAATGATAAAATGGTATCGGTCTTTGTACACAGATTAACCCCGTATGGTTGTAATGATAAAATGCTTTCGTGTATTCATTGTGTGCAAACCTGTAATACTTCGATGAATCATGATTGAGTAATCAATATATTTGTATCAACACAATAAAAATTCAATAAAAATTCTTTAAATTTGATAAAGTGCAATCTTTTATTTCGGTTCATTCATATGGCATACATACACATCGATTCATGCTTCAGATATTACATACACCTGAAAATATAGTCGTCTTAAAATTCTAACCATTGCCGACGTCAGCTTATTTCATTTTATTTTATATACTTTATTTATCATCAGTGGTATAAGCTCATTTGTCTCATTTATCTAATACTTATGTTTTATTGTTTAAAGTTTAAAACTTACTTTTAAATGTTTAATAAAATGCCATGTTGTTTTTTATCGGGCATCAATGCTATTTCTTTAAACTCATTTTGTTTCATTCTCTCCCACAGACATCATCCAAGATGACGTTCCATCTGAAAATCAATGGCAGATTTCTTCATGTCCATAATTTCATAATTTCATCATTCTGTGAACATTATCCTGATATAATAAAAACTTTCCCTGAAAAAACATTCCTCTCAGTCACACCAAGCAAATTGCCCCGTCATAAACACACACACACACACACACACACACACCATTCCTCTCAGTCACACCAAGCAAATTGCCCCGTCATAAACACACACACACACACACACACACATAAACACACAGCCATAAACTCCGGAAACACATGGTCGGGGTCAAAAGTTCACATACCATCTGGTGGTCGTAAAACCCCCATCCCTGCTACACATCCTGTCATAAATATTTCATAATAATATTCATAATCATAAATCATAACCTGTCATAAAAATCATATTTAGGGTCATAAATCATTTTTGACAGAAGCTCCCTCATAAAGACTACTAACAACATAGAAATTATATACCTGAGATAAGGCTGTGTGTCTCCACTCTTAAACTCCATAGAGTGATTACTCTTCATAGACACACCGCTGGACTCTGGGTTTGAGCTCTTCTGCTGGACTGAACTGGTTTTAAGTAAATAAAAAACATACAGAGTTATAAATGTTGTGCAGTTTTCCTGGAAACTTCTGTCTTAGGAAAGACCAGGGAGTGTTGTAACACTTTTGCATTAACATCTGTAACTTAATGGTGTTTCAAACTTAGTTACTTTGAGAAATTACCTTATTTGTTTGCAAATGTTAAGCATGATTTTAAAAAAATTTTTACCAAAGCGACAGTGAAATTATGGGGAGACTGGGGCACAACCCAACACTATCTGACTTTCAGAGTTTGTGTAAATCCACTTTGGGTATTATTATTTTTTCCCCACATTGATTTTACACATGTCTAGTACAATTATGTGGTTTCATTTCATTAATACAGTGAATACGTTTTTACCCCGAAAGAAGGAAAATAAAATGTGACAATATGCCCCATAGGTGAGGCACATTGTAACATGACCATATGACAGATTAAAATGCTCTTATCTAATAAAAAAAAGACAAACTAAAATATATTATCTATAAAATACAATTATTCACCTTTTTATATAAATAATAGCATTTTTTAATAATTAAAAATAAACAAATTTTTGAGTTTGACAACTAACACACCACAAAACACAGTACAGCATGATTCCACACATAAATGAATAATTTTTTAACATTGACTCATTGAGTCTTTATTCACCTTTTTCTCTTGGTTTCTCAGTAGATTTCATAAACGTTGTTAATGTGAATTATATCGCAACATCATAGAATAGCATAGTTCTAATAGGGAAGGGGTTGAGTAAGTTTGGCATCGGGCCAAAAACTTTTCACCAATGGATGGCGGGCCAGAACATAGTCAAAGGATAATTTAAGAAATTAATTGATTAAAAATGCAACTAGAATTGCCTGTGACAGACTGTTACACTAAAAAAAATGACATGTTGGCTTTAATTAACTTTTTTATGTCAACAGGTTCCACATAACTGGGTTACGTTAAACCAGTGGTTCTCAAACTTTTTTGGTCATTCCCCACTTTGGACAAGGGGGAATTTTCAAGCCCCACCTGCCCCCCTCGCCCCCATAAAATGTTCCAATTTATTGAAGTAACAAGTATTATCAGTATAGTAACAAGTTGTATCAAAATACAAACTATCTACTTCAAATAACAGCAAGTTCAAAAATAAAGAAAATAAAAGTGCAGCTGTGTCATAACTTGCATGAAATTAAAAAATAGAGAAAATAAAAGTGCAGCTGTGTCAAAATTTGTATCAAGTTCAAAAATAGAAAAGAAATAAAAGTGCCACTTTGCAATCTGTTAAAAAAAGAAAAGAATAGAAATCCATTTGGCAAGACAGGTCTATTTATCCCTGCATTAGTGGCTGCAATGTGCCTGTTTTGCATTGTACAATTTCTCAAAAGTCACGCTCAATGTTCAGCTGAGATCTGTACTTTGTTTTCAGTGAAGCAACATCTGAAAAGCCCATCTCACAGAGATATGATGTGGCAAAGGGAAGAAGAATGCACACAGCTCTCTGCCTTTACTTAAAAACGTGATTTTTTTTTAAATAGATAAAATAGACATAACATACTGTGTTTGATATGGGATTAAAATGATAGATATAATAGATATAAATATAGATATATAGATATAAACGAATGATTCATTATTTGAATATTCCTTTGTTCCAATCAGAACGTGTGAGCGGAGAGCGCATTTCTGAATATTCCTCCGCTCGCTCATTCCGCTCAACCCAGAATGCCCTGCTGGTTAGAAAATATGTAGAATAAGGGCTGCCTCCGATTAAAGTTTTTTCTAGTCGACTAGTTGTTAATTTAAGCCATTAGTGGACGAATCGCCCCTTTATATTAATTTAATTACTTAAATAGGCTATACAGGATAATGAGCGTTATATAGCCGCACACAAGCGCACGACCGCACGCATAAAAAGCTTGCCACAAAGAATCGGCAAAAGTAATGATTATGAATGTGTAAAAAATGTGCAAAAAATTGGTGTTTTCGGTGTCGCTGCAAAGATGAAGTTGACGATGCGGACTCGCCATGAACGAATAAAGATATAAAGGCATAAAACAGAAAATTTCCTCCCGTTTGGCGCCCCCCACCTGTTACGTCTCTATTCCCCACCAGTGGGGCACATCCCACACTTTGAGAACCGCTGCGTTAAACAAACATAATTTGTTCATGTAATTTCAACATCATGGAATCAAGTCATTTTAAGCGACCCAATTAAACTCTGAGCAGAGTGTTAAATGAAAACTGAAGCAGTGTTAAAGTTAATGAGATAATTAAGTGAATAATTGAGTGATGATTGAGCATTATTGAAGACACCTGATATTAACAAGCAGAATCACTGAAGGAGAAAACCGGAATTTAAAGTCACCATTATGGTGATCGGTTTTAGTTGGGTTCTTGACCATTAAATCGTTAACTTTAGATTGTGTTTTACTGCTGTACATGAGTTATATCAGACAGATGAACAAATAGTAAAGGTGATCTGATGGTGTTGGTTGTGTTTTAACATAATCGTTATTTCACAATCATTTGACCTGAATCACTGAACTCATATAGAGCCCAATTTCTGAGTTAACTTTACCTTATGGATTATAGCAGCGCTGTCATTGTAGAGCAATATCATTTTTAGCCTTTTCAATGAAATCCAAATGATCAAATGAACATTTAAGCTGGTGAGAGAAAATGTCACTATCAAATAATCTAAAGTCAAGTCAAGTCAAGTCATCTTCATTTATATAGCGCTTTTAACAATGAATTGTTTCAAAGCAGCTTTACAGAGATAAACATATAATTTAAGGTAACAGGTAAAGAGGAAAGTTGACAGCGAAAATAGGGCATGGAAAGACAACTATGCGTTCATCCTACCTAGTTTTGTGAATGCAACACCGGTGTGTCTTATCTGCAATGAAGCCATCCACAAACTCTTTTGAATGTCTTTCATAATTTTTCAAATTAAAAGCTCTTAATTCATCTCAAAATAAAACATTGCTGCAAAAACATTGTCGTACTTTTATTTTGAAGGCAAAATCGCTAAAGACGACGTGATTGTGAGTATTTTTAACTATTTCAGAACAGAGCATGTGAGCGGAGTGGAGCGGGAGCGAGCGGGGAGCGCGAGCGGGCGGATCTTGGACAGAGATCCGCCAAAATCAAAATGTTCAAAATGTTGGCCTAATAGTTAATTTACTTTAAAAACGTTTATGTAGGCCTATATTTTTTATATTTTTGTTTATATAATTTTTATTTATAAAAATTTGAGCGGCGGAGCGGAGGGGTGAACAGTTCCGTGAGCGAGGAGCAGAGATTCTCACCGCTCCACTCCGCTCATATGCTCTGTTTCAGAACCAGCCGCTGCTGGCTGCGTGTGCTGGCGAGATATTATTGCTGGCGGGCCGCGCCTGTTGCCGACCACTGTAATAATAGGGCCTCATTGTAATGCAGTGTTACTACGCCTGTGCAACTGGGATTTACACCCAGATAGTGTCTTATGCTGATTAGATCTAAACTGC